ACTTAAATAGCACACATTTCATTCTCCACAATGTGAAAAGTCCTTGGGAAGTTCCTTTCTTAAAAGTTTGTAATAAAATGGATGTAAAAAAAACAATAGCATTACATATTGTTCTCTTTTGTATGGAAGCTTGTTTCCACCACAGAATAAAAAACGAAAAAAGGTAATTGCTACTTTTTTTTAATCTCACAATTCAGACTTTTTCTCAGAATTGTGTGACATAAAGTCGCAATTGTGTGTTATAAAGTCAGAATTGTGAGATATAAACTCGCAATTCTTTCTTTTTTCTCAGAATTGCAACTTTATAACATGCAATTGGAAGATATAAAGTCATAATTGCATGATATAAACTCACAATTCTGAGAAAAAGTATTTTTCCCCCTTAGAATTGGACTTTATAACTTGCAATTGCGAGTTTATATCATAAAATGTTGCAATTATCTTTTAAAATGTTTTATTCTGTGGCGGAAACAAGCTTTCCATAGTTTTGCCACTTCTCAACAAAGACAGTATGCCTTTTTTTTAACAGTAATGCCACAAAACGATGAGCAAAATATGCACCTTATGGTGTGTTCATTGGAAATCAAAACCACGTCCTCAACAGCTGAAATGTGTTCTGTAACCTCAACCAACACACTAAGTAAGTAGCGTCTAAATTGTATAGACAACATTCACAATTTGCCTATTTCTAACATGAGCAACACCAATGAACAAGAAGTCCAAGCTCACACACACACACACACACACACACACACACACACACACACACACACACACACACCTACACACACACCTACTGTAATTATTTGGAGTCCCTCAGCACGAACTACATCATTATGCATTAGAGCCTGTTCACACCAACATGAGCATTCATGGCGTCAATGCGACGAATTGTTTTGGTTTTCCATCGCACTTTCTGCGAAGAAAACTGGTCAACCAATAAGAGTCGCTGTTTTGGTCACGTGCCCAGAGCCGCTGCTGTTACATAAAACTAGACTTGCACGTTTATGAACAGATTGTTTTGCATGACCCTGCTCTCTTGCCTCTGTACTCTTGCGGTATTGTTTGATAAACACCACAGTGAACACAAAAATCTGAACGCCATTGGAAAACATGTAAATACCGTTTAGTAAGGGAAAGTCCCAAATGCTTTGTGTAGTGGGCCATTTCTCCTTTTCTTTTAGCGCCACCTACTGTAATAGCGTGCATTTGCGTTTTCACGAATTCATCCATCGTCTGCCGTTTTTTACGCATTGGTATGAATCAACAGATACATTTCTTGCAAAAAATGGACCGAATTGTGTGCAGAACATTTGTGTTGCTGTTAACAGGCCTATATGCAAAAAAACATCTTTGTAAAATATAAAATGATTTGAAACACCATACAATTAAAAAAAACATTATATTATGTTAAATGTACATTATGTAACTTTTGGTCTTCTAGCGGTTAAAAACAAAACTGCATTTTGCGAAGAACATTGTTTTAATTGTGCTTCGGCTCTGTGTGGATGAAAATGGTTCTTTCTCATAACTAAATTATAATAACTAAAGAGAGAGATTATCCTTCTGCTCATAAAACATTTACTACTAGGCTTAAGAGATATAACCAGTTTAGATGGAAAGGATCACACACACACACACGCATACCGGGATAGAAAAACATGTAGGCTATACCTGTACACACACACACACACACACACACACCTGCCACTCCCACACCAGACATGCGGCAAAGCAGTCATGAGCAACTTTTCTCTATTTACGGATGTGACGAAACACACAAGGGCGAGTGACGTTACGCAATTTCCCGCCAAAACCATCCCGTCAATAGCCTATTGAAGAAAAGAAAGTTACATACTGTACTTTTAAATATTTCACCAGCCTCCAACACTTTTAAAAGGGTCTTAGCTGCAAAGATCATGTCATGTAGAATTTATGGCTGTTGGAGAATTTTCCAGATGGCAGTTTACAAGTCGCATAATTCCGGTAACTTCCATCAAGATTACCAGACATAAGGAATATCTAGTTAAGAATATCTAATATAAACTCTTGAGTTCGACATGGAGGCATAACTATCTGGTGTAATAGAAGATGCATTAGGACCTTCTAAGCCCATTTCCACCACATAATAAAACTGGAAAATCTTAAGTATGAACTAAAAATCATAATCAGACATAAAAAGTAGAAATTTTTGACATAATAAATCTTGACTTTTTATTTCTGATTATGATTTTTATGTCATACTTAAGATTTTCCAAAGCATGTTTGTTTAGAAAATCATAATCAAACATAAAAAGTCAAAATTATTAAATATCTAGGCTACTTTTTATTACTGATTATGATTTTTTTATTACCGATTATGATTTTAAAAGTCTTGACTTTTAATGCCTGATTATGATTTGTATGTCATACTTTATATTTTTTATTATGTGGTGGAACTGGGCTTAGAAGGTCCTAATGCAACATTTCTATTACAAAGGAAAGTTATGTCCATATGATTATGATTTAAAAATCATAATCAGACATAAAAAGCCAAAATGATGACATAAGTCGACGTTTTTTTGTCCAATTATTTTTTTATTATTATAAATCTTATATATTATGTAGACATATAAAAAGTCAAAATGAAGACATACAAAGTAGAAATTTTGACATAGCCTACTAAGTCTTGACTTTTTATGTCATACACCTAATTATGAGCTACATAACAGTCACGATTATGACATTAAAAATCCACGATTATGAGATAAAAGTCTAAATTGTGACTTTTTTTTCTTATGTGGCGTAAAATATGCGTCCATAAATTGCCGTTGTTAGGGTAGGGGTGCACATAAATTGCCGTTGTTAGGGTAGGGGTGCACATAAATTGCCGTTGTTAGGGTAGGGGTGCACATAAATTGCCGTTGTTAGGGTAGGGGTGCATTAGTTACACCGTCATTTTAAATATAAGACACACAGCCACTCACAAAACAGCAGCTATATTTCATCTGTGCAACAGAATCAAACTTTAAAGTAGTAAACAGACTGAACCCTGGCGTGCTAATGGATTGAATATTTCTGTCCGGTCGGGGCAAACACGCTTATCTCCAGATCTCCGTGTCGCAGTGCCGATCCGCATCGAGTTTCTCGGCTAAAGAGGCGTTGAACTCTTGATACGCATTTGGTCACAAGCCAGACCGGCGATTCGCAGACTCAGCCAGATCCGGGTCCATTATCTGTGCCCTGATATAAGATCAATGTGATTAATCTCGGAAAAAAAGAAATAAATATCCAAGCTCGTTCTAACCCTCTCGATGCCAAACGAGCCACTGGAGAGACTGGGATCAAATGGCGGCTGCGTCTTTAACAATGCGCGGCTATAAACAGCACAGAAATCTGCATCCTTTTAGCAAATTAAGGAATAAAAAACAAAAAAACACGAGCCAACAGTGTTAAAGATCTCTGCCAGGAAGCGATGGCTGTTTGAGGATTTCACTGACAAATTTATTAAATCACTTAACCATCATCAGAGAGAATAAATAAGACATAAAACATTTTTTTTCCACATAACACATACAAGGACGATTCCAACTGAGTGAAAGGAACGAGACACGTCCGAAAACACACAAATGCATAGAGGTACTTCTACTCAATAGAAAGAGACAACAACTACAACTTGTCTATCCCTGTTGTGAAACATACAAAGTCCTAATGTCTCCGTGATCATATTGTCCGAAGGGGGGTTGTATAAAAATAAAGACTCCACATTGATAAAATGTTATATATTGTACATAGACATTTGGCAATGACCAAAACTGGTGATATCACATTTATACACATCAGTAACAGCAATGATGGAGGATGACTGGTGGAAATTTCAGACGAGCATCTTCTTTCTTGGTCTACAATACGTAAACTGACTTGAATTCTTATTTGGAGAGAAGATAATAAAAATGCTGTAAGATAAAAAGTTATGGTCGTCTAACTATGATAGCATCCACATCAAGGCATGATATCGTTCTGTTTAATTCTGTCTCTGTCACTTTAAATTCTCAGGCTGGATTCTGATTGGCTATCGATGTTTTTATGGTTCATCAGCTGGAAAAAAAACACAAGATATCATTTCTCTGTGCCGTTATCGTCCCAGACAGCAACATAGTGTCGGCCCAGATCCGGTACACGTGGATTCCACACGGCCCAGATGTGGGCCGGATCTGGGCCGACACTATATCGCTGTCCGGGATAGTTTTGGTGTGGATTCTGCTGTTCTTTTAAATTTAGATCGATTTTTAGACCTATATCTTTATCGTTGTGTGGATGTGCCTTTAGTGTGATAAAAGCTTCTCACACTGTCCTTGTAGAACCAAACAGAAGTCCTCGTCGAGACTCGAGTCTCCATCGCTAACCAATTTCCAAATGTCCAACTCTACAGAATAATAGAGATGGTTCAAGGTTCGGCATCCACATAGAAATTCCCGTCTCTTTCCAAATGTGCATCAGATGATCCACTTCATCCAACCAGGACGCCGGGCTGGCGGCGAAGTCCGGATATCGGCATGATATCGTTTGGTTTATTTCTGTCTCTGCCACTTTAAATTCTCAGGCTGGATTCTGATTGGCTGTCGATGTTTTTATGGTTCATCAGCTGGAAAAAAATATCACTCTGAAAGTGATTCCAACTCTGTGCCGTTATTGTCCCAGACAGCAATATAGTGTCGGCCCAGATCCGGCCCACACGTGGATTCCACACGGCCCAGATGTGGGCCGGATCTGGGCCGACACTGTATTGCTGTCTGGGATAGTTCTGGTTCTGCTATTCTTTTATATTTTTAAACGGATTTTTACACCTATATCTTTATCGTTGTGTGAATGTGTAAAAGCTCCTCACACTGTCGTGTCCTTGTAGAACCAAACAGAAGTCCTCGTCGAGACTCGAGTCTCCATCGCTAACCATTTTCCAAATGTCCAACTCTACAGAATAATAGAGATGGTTCAAGGTTCGGCATCCACTGAGTAATTCCAGTCGCTTTCCAAATGTGCATCAGAATTGCGCGTGATCCACTTCATCCAACCAGGACGCCGGGCTCGCGGGGAAATCCGGATAGCCGCCGCTGCTCCCCGTGGACAGATCCGAGCTCGGCCCGTTTCCCCCGGCCATCATTCGGCTCATGTTCTGGGCCGGGTTCTGAGACACCATGGGCAGGCCGGACTCCGGGAACACCAGGCCGGAGATGAGCGGCGGGTGTCTGGGAAGAGCCTGGAGCGAGCCGGGAGACTGCGGGAGGCTGTAGGGGCTGCTGGCCTGGAGGTCGTGGTACTGGTCCTGCGAGGGGATGATGTTGGTGCCGTGATCCAGTGGGAACGGTGGATGAGATCCGCCTTGCCGACTCAGAGCCGGAGAGCTCTCGCTCAGACTGCTGTAAATGCTGTTGGAGTGTCCCAGATCCGACATGGGCGGCTCGTCTGCGAGGAGAAACAGAAGTGAGCGATGGATTATGCGTTTGTCAGCAGAAAAGGTTAAAAAACAGCTTATAATCATATTAAATTATGTTTTTTTTTCTAAATGTATAAATGCGATGGATATTAGCAGTTTTTAATCACAATAAAAATGATAGAAATAAAAGTGAGCGATGGACAGTGTCGGGGTAAAACATTACAAGTAACTTAAGTTATGTAATCGGATTACTTTTTTCAAGTAACTAGTAAAGTAACGCATTACTTTTAAATTTACAACAGAGTTGCTTTGTTCGTTTGTTGTTTAAATAACCAGTTAAACATGAAAGCATTATCCAGTCATTTAAGACATTTCTCCTTATAGAACCTTTTTGACATAAAGTGTTTATTAAAGTGGTGTAAATCCAGCGTTTAATGTTGTTTATGTGTCTATATGGTGTTTTTAATACGCTTTAACACACACCATGTGTAAGTTCATAAGTCGACAGCATTGCTGAGTATTTCCTCCTTAAAACTGCAGTGAACCAAAGACAGTCTCAAAAACACGGTTTGAAATCGCTGGTGTTTCTGACGTCACAAACGACCTTGTAACCAATCAGATCAACGTGTAATCGTCAACCAGTGGATCTCTGAGCTGAGTGAGTGAGTGGAGGCGGGGCTCATTTGCATATTCATAGAGCCGCGAATACTAAATGAGGCGAGGGTGTCGAGTTACAGTCAAGATATTTTATGTCAAGGATAAAACTTTTAAATATGTCATTTTGGTGATCAAAGATGAATTTTAAGGGATATTGACTACAGGGGGACTTTAATGTTGAGTCTAGAAGGCTTTATAAAGAACACCATTGAACCTTTTCTTCTGACACACCTTTTTTCCCCAATCAAATATTTTAGTAATCATCATAAATACGGTTTCATTGGAAATCTTAAACACTCAAAATTCACAATGTGTTCAAATTGAACATTGCGTTGGCATGAAAACGGTTATAAGCGGATTCATTTCTATGTAATCAACTTCAAATTTGGAACACTACTTGGTTTGACATATGGCATAATATTTTTTATTTAGCAATTGTAGAGGCATTTTTTTTGTCAAATATATATTTTGTATAAAATAAAGGTAACATGAACTAACAATGAATTCTACAGCATTTATTAATTAAGTCAATGTTAATCTCAAACATTTATTAATGCATTATTAAAATCAAAAGTTGTATGTAACATTATTTAATGCATGCACTTGGAACTAACTTGAACACTTATATTCACTAACATTAATAAACGCTGTTCATGTTAGTTAATGCACTAACAAATGCTGTCACATCTTAAATAATCTGCTGAGTGTCTGCTTTAAAAAGAGACCAATAGGTCTGTTTTCCAAAAAAATCTTGAATTACAACCATTCAAGTTGAGATCTGAGCTCAAAAAGGGGCGACAGTTAAAGAAATATTAATGATGCAACAATAAAAATACTTTGCTATTTGTAATGGACCCCAGAATTATGAGCAAAAATGAAATGGTGAGAGATGATGATGTATGATCTCACTTTTCCCATTCATTTTCCAAATAGGCTTTTCAGAAAATGATTCAATAAACAGTTCTTGACTAAAAGAAACTGCTGAACTTTGCACCGCTGGACTGGAGTCACTGATGCATGCCAGTGTTCACCTGTGAAGGAGACCTCGGCGTCGCTGTCCATGCCCTCCTCCTGAGTGCTGTCTTTATCAGATTTGGAGCCTCCCCGGGACCTCTTCATGTTTCTGAAGTACTGACCCCATCTCTGTCTTCCTGCGTCTTTCTTCAGTCTTTTCTCCTTTGCTCTTCTGTTTTGAAACCAGACCTGTGCAGAAACATGGGTTAGTTCTCACAGCATCCCAACTGGACCTTACAAACATCCTGACCTGAGTCTTAAAATTACTCCTGTTGGGTTTTGACAGCTAACACAGAACTAAAACTTATTTTGTTTTGTTTATTTTTAGTTATATATTTTTTTATGTTTATTTATAATTTTGTATTATTTCTTTTTCTTCATATAATTAAGATCAACACTGGTACAAGATATGATGACATACTACTGCATAAATATGCACACAATAATCAAAACAGGAAAGCGCTAAAGCGATCATGTGACACGTGGCGGATTGGTGAATTATGTCGCGATTCAGTGTCTAAAAGTAAAATATTCTACATGAAATAATAGTTAAGCATAAGTGCACGAAGCACTTTAAAAATAGTGTATAATAGCCAGGGAATAAGAGCCTACTTGATTGCATGAAATAACAAATAAACGTTATAATGACACGTAAGAATTTTTTTTCAGTGAATAATTGCGTAAATAAATGCCTAATGCATGATAGCTGAATGAATGAAATAGTATAATGATGTAGCTGTGCGCTATGCAACATTTGTCAGTAAATCTAATCATCAGCTAACCTAAAAAAATGTGCTTCGTTTTGATAACATAACTGGGTTTACAATAATATCACGGAAAGGCTATAGAAGTGCATGTTCACGGGCTATAGTTGTGTGTTATGCATGTGGAAGTGTGTGAGAGTGTCAGTGTACCTGCACCACCCGCATGTCGAGGCCGGTCTCCGACGACAGCTGCTCCCGCACGTGTCTCGCGGGCTTCGGGGAGTTGTTGTACGCGTTCTTCAGCGTCTCCAGCTGCTTCGCGGTGATCGTGGTGCGGGGCCGCTTCGCAGTCGAGTCCGCCTCTGGGGTGGGGACAATCATTGAGGGATTAAAAAAGGAATATATTTCATTGCATTTTATGACGGCATTACTATTTAAGGTGCAACACGCTTTTTAAATTATGACGATGCTACTGTATTCTATTCTGTTTTGTGAGGTAACAAGGGTAAATGTATTTAATATAATATATACGTTTAAAAATACAAAATCATCATTATTATAGGTTGCACGAACAAAAGTCAAGTCCAAATATAGATCCTTAAATAATTGCACAGCATCATCACTTTTATATTCTATTCTATTCTATTCTGTTCTATTCTATTCTATTCTGTTTTGAGAGGTATCAAGGGTAAAATGTATTTCATATAATATATCAAATACAAAATCATCATTACAAATGTCAAGTCCACATAGATAAATGCACTTAATTGCAGCAAATAAAATAATTACACATCGCCACTTTTTACATTCTATTGTATTCTATTCTAATCGGAAGGTTGGCGAAGTGAAGGCATTGAACATTTAGAATGCAGTTTTGTAATGTAAGTTTATGTGCTGTATGAATGACACTCAAGGGTCTCTTTCTCTTCCAGACATCATTCCTCAATAATTCACAACCAACCTCGCGTCTCTCTAATGGAATAAATGTGATTTAAAATATTATAGATTTTAATTTAACGAAACAAATGCATTTCTTATTAGACACTAATTTATGTTTCTATTTCGAGATACATTCAATTCAATTCAGTTCAATTCAATTCAATTCAATTCAATTCAATTCCATTTAACACTCTTAAAAATGTTATTTATTGGCATCTTTATTTCCATTAAGAACATTTTTCATCGCACAAAGGGGTTTTCATATAGAGGGGAAAGAAATTCAGATTCAGATGATTAAAATGTAATTCGAATTATAAAAATGTTTTTTGTTTTTTTAACTGTGTATTGAAAGGTTGTTCTTGGGTAGGGAACGCAGGATGCTTCTTCTGTGTCAATACTCAAACCCCTGTATTGAACGTTCAGGGTGTAAGTTCATCTTCTCAATGGAGACACTAACTCCTTTCCAGACTCTATTTCCGAATAAATCCCCACGTCGTCCGATTGGTCTAGAATTAAAGCGCTGAATCTGTCTGAAAACTGCGCCGAATGCAGATCGCGTCCGTCTGGCTCATGTGTGTGTGTGTGTGTGTGTGTGTGTGTGTGTGTGTGTTCGGCTCGCACTATAACGCTTCTGTTGGCACTTATCGATCCGGAGGCCGGCGGGTTCGCAATTACCCGAGCGGGTCAGATGTTTATGGACGAGCGCACGACCAGCAAGATTAAGTTCAGAGTTAAAAGCAGCCAGTCAATGCGAGACCATTGAATGCAAGAAGTAAAACAATTAAGACTTAGAGAACTGTGCTTGCTCAAACAAAACCTCCCTGCTGAATCAACACGAGCTCATGCAAATGCGAATTGTATGTATCGTGCATTTAAATACGCAAAAATTAGTTTTTACGTGCATATGACACGCACTTTATGCGTACGTACTCCACACCACTAATCCTACCCAAGGGTTTTTATTTTGCGTGTAAATTGCACGATAAATACAAATCGTGCTATATAGATACGCACTATTTTGCGCGTGATGTACCTCTCTGTTTGGCGGTCTCGTAATCGGCTTTGCACACCAGTCGACTGTCCTCCATCAGGTAGTACTCATCACCTGTGGCCAGCTGCCTCTTACACACCACACACGCGAAGCAGTGCAGGTGATACACGAAGTCCTGCGCCCTGCGGACCACCTGCGTCGGGGGGATGCCCTGCTGGCACGCGGAACACTTGGTGCCGAACCTCCTGCGTGCACACACAGACACACACACACACACACACACACACACACACACACACACACACACACACACACACACACACACACACACACACACACACACACACACACACACACACACACACACACACACACACACACACACACAGATCAGACCCCATCAGAACATGATGATGAAGAACTCACTCGTACGAATTCTAATATATAAGTTTAAAAATACAAAATGGTAAATGGTAAATGGACTGCATTTATATAGCGCTTTCACAGACCCAATGGCCACCAAAGCGCTTTACAATCATTAAAAAGCATCATTATTATAGGTTACATGAACAAAAGCATCATTATTATAGGTTACATGAACAAAAGTCATATCCAAATAGATCCTAAAATAATTGCACAGCATCACCTCATTTTCTATTCTATTCTATTCTATTCTATTCTATTCTATTCTATTCTATTCTATTTTATTTTATTTTAGTCTATTCTATTTTTTTCTGTTCTGTATTCCATTCTGTATTCTATTCTATTCTATTCTACTCTACACTATTATATTCTATTCTACACTTTAAAAGGTTCTTTATTGCCATCTTTGTTCCTATTAAGAACATTTTTCCATTGCACAAAAGGCTTTTGGGAAAAAAAATATTTAGATTTTTAAAATGTAATAATTCGTACCATAAAAAAATGGCTATTTTAAGATTTTTTCTAGGGTGCATGGAAACCCGCGAAACCCCCCAAGTGGAACCTTTATTTTTAAAATTCTACTATGTTCTATTATGCTGTTTTTTGAGAGTTATCAAGCGTAAATGTATTTAATATAATATATAAAATACAAAATCATGATTATTAGGCTATAGCTTGCACGAACAAGTCAAGTCCAAATAGATAACTGCACTTTATTGCACCAAATAAAATAATTGCACGGCATCAGCACTTTTACATTCTATTGTACTATAATCGTAAGGTTGGTGAAGCGCAGGCGTTGCTGATGAAGATGAAGATGAAGAACTCACTTGAAGAAGTCTTCTTTGCAGTACACGCTGTCTCCTCGACTGAAGCACTTCTCGGCCAGCTGAGACTGGCAGTCGCTGCACTTCAGGCACTTGCTGTGCCAGTGGCGATCTAGAACCTTCAGGATGAAGCGATCCCCGATGTGCTGGTTACAGCCCGCGCAAACGGGAACATCTGGAGAACAACACGAACACAGCGCGGTGTCAAATACTGGGAGGAAATCCCGGAAAACAGTATTATTCTAGTGCTAGGCCTACTTAAATAACAGGGTTTGTCGATTTAAAAAAAAAAAAAGCATTTAGAAGATCAATTAGCGCGCTATATATACTATATATGGATGGGGAAACCCGTAATGGTTCTTCTGCGAAACCCGAACCTTTATTTTTAAATGTCTATTCTTTTGTATTCTATTCTATTCTATTCTATTCTATTCTATTCTATTCTATTATGTACAATTCTATTCTATTCTATTATGCTATTAAATTCTATTCTATTCTACTCTATTCTAAACTAAATTTAAAAAGGTTCTTTATGGCCATCTTTGTTTCCATTAAGAACATTTTTTCATTGCACAAAAGGCTTTTATATGTATGGGGGGGCATTTCCCCCCCCCCCCCCCCCCCCCCCCCCCCCATATTATTAATGCAATAATTCGTACCAAAATGGTTATTTTAAGAATTATGTTTGGAAAAGTGTTTCTAGGGTGCACGGAAACCCCAGAAAACCCCCAAATGAAATTTTATTCTATTTTATTTTATTTAATTCTATTTAATTCTATTCTATTCTACACTTAAAAATGTTCTTTATTAGCATGTTTGTTTCCATTAAGAATATTTTTCCATTGCACAAAAAGCTTTAATAGTGGGGAATTTTTTTTTCAGAATATTAAAATGTAATAATTCGTACCATAAAAAAAAATTATTGTAAGAACTGTGTTTTGAAATTATTCTTTGCGTAAAAATCCACAGATGGAACCTTTCTTTTTAAATGCCTGTTCTATTCTATTCTATTCTATTCTATTCTATTCTATTCTATTCTGTAAACACTTAAACCCCTGTACTGAACGTTTAGGATGAACATATCCAGTGGTGTTCAGTGTAAGTTCATCTTCTCAACGGATGACACTAACTCCTTTCCAGACTCTATTTCCGAATAAATCACGACCTGAATTGTCTAGAATTAAAGCGCTGAATCTGTCTGAATACAGATTGTGTTGGTCCTTCTGGACAGTATTATTGCCCTGGCCGAAAAATAAGTCACACTAGTCACGTGCACTGTTGCTTTGATAAAGATGCGCATTTCATTTGTTTGTTAGTGTTGTTTTATTTACTCATATAATACCCGGTAATCTCATAATCACATCATCATGTGTGTCTTCTTGTTCATTACAAGTGAACCATATCGAGCTCTGCTTTCAGTGAAACAACAACCCGATAATATTCACAACACGATAATATTGCGCCTTCTGTTTCTATATGCATGAATCAAGCCCTGCTTACTGAACAATTATTACAACTATGTCTAATATCAAAAGAGCACCAAAACATCAAAGAACGAAAAGATGACAAGAAATTTCTGGAATTCAACGATACGAAATAAAAATAATTCCAGCGTTATAGATTTTTTTTTTTAATATTAGGCCTATTATTATTATTATTACTAAATAAAATAAAGTGTTAAATGTAAAATAATAGTTTATAACAAAACTGTATTATTATTATTATTATTAGCACTATCCTCATTATCGTTAATATTATTTTAAATGAATAGTAATACGATATAGACTGTATTAATTGTATTATTATTATACCGTATTACAGCATGTCTCAGTCTCGTGATAAATCAACTCGATGTTTATTACAGTAATCATTCTGCAACTGAGAACACGTTCACTTTATGTTGATTCAATAAGTGTTTATGATGTCAATCCAAACTTGTGTTAAAAAAGCAACAACATTTGCATTGCACAGGTGCATAAAGCACATCAAATAAAAACAACTTGAATAAATATTTAAATATTATTAATAATAATAATCGTTGCTGTTGTTGTTGTTATCTTCAAAACATCAATTTTCATTAGCTCATACTGATAATATGATGGTAAATTTCGCAAAAAAATTGATAAACACATATTTTATTAAATATTTTCACTGTATCGTCACTGTCAAATCCAGCTGAACATGTCACGATATCCCCATCCTCTATATACAGTATCACTCAACTCGAGATAGGGCCTACTGGTTTGCTATAACAATTAAATAAACAAGGCCATCGCGTTCCGCCCTGACATCACCAGACACGTCATCAACAGGTGCACGAGCATCAATTATTCAATCAAGCAACATCTCTAATGATTAGTCTATAATAAAGGACAGAAATCTCCGCTTCTGAAACGGTTTCTGCAAACCTGTCATTATTTCTCATCATTCATATTCAAACACACAACTGAGAACAAACCAAACACTGATTTTGCGTCTTAATATCGCTCGTGCGCGTGAGATTTGTTGAAGCAGACATATGTTGTTTTGAGCCGCTGTTTCAGATTTAATCCTCCGACACACAATCATTTAATCCGAGCATTAGAGCCGCGCGAGAAGCGTTACAGGAGAGATGTGAAATTACGCAGAAAAGATTGCGCTTAAATCAGATATCGGCTGTAATTACCCACATCTATTAAAGTTAAACACACACGGAGTATCAAAGCTGCGATGTTAATACTTTCAGAAAACTGCCAAACTCAAAATCATAAAAAGGTTTGTACCTTTCCGCAACTCCTGCTGTGTGTGTGTGAGTAAAGCCAAGAGCATCTCCGGCGAATCCCGAGCCGTGTTCGGATCCGTTCTCATTATCCCGATGAAGGGCGACTAAATGCGTGCGATAATAATCTGAGAGTTACACATGCAAATCAGAACTGCATGAAGAAGAGGAATAAACGCGCGTGCCAGAGACAGATGCGTCGCGCGCTCCATGTGTTTCTGCGCCCTGTGGCTTTTGACGCGCGACAGAAACGCCGCCCCGTTCCTCTGATGACCATCACCTGGACAAATCCACAATCCAGAGGCAACACCGGCTTTCTTCGCTGAACAGCGTCCACATAATACTTCATGATGCGTATAATCCTTCTTTTGCGCGCGCGACGCGTAGAAATCCGCACGTGTTTATTCCCAAACCGAATTATGCATTCAACTATTCACATGATGAGCAGCGATTCGAGTTTTTCCCCGCACAAAAACATCCGACAAATCTCCATGTTCAAAATACTCATTGTAAACCAAAGCTGCAATTAATGCAGAAGCGCGCGACACATGAAACCCGCACAGTTGTATTCCCAAACCAAACTATATGCCATAAATGTGTCGTATGATGCATTCAACTATTACATGATGAGCAACGATTAGAGTGTTTCCCCACACACAAACATGTGTGTGTGTCCATCTGACGAATCTCCATCTCCATAGACCCGAGCTGTTCAAAATACCATCAGAACCGCTGCAATTAATGCAGAAGCGCGCGACACATTCCTAATGCACCCAATGAGGACATGCATTCATAGATGTTGTACCTCCATTCACTTAAAAACGGTGCATTTCATCAGTCTCTGAATTACTTTCGACAGACAGACATTTTCTTCAAATAATAACACACATTATACGGTGACATTCAGGTTATTTAAATCAAGCCATTTCCATGCATTATTTTTATACTAAAAGCGGACAATATATTTGGACACCGACTTTAGTAAATACTAAATACACGTAATAAATGCAAAATGCAAATGCAAAACGAATTAATTATTAGAGTGACCATTCACTTGAAATGAATCCGGCCTGTAATTTGTCGCAATGCTTTTACTTCTTCAGAGCGATGAATGCGTTGTAACTTTTAAATCCAGATCGTTCAATTTTTCCTACATTGATTCGAATCGGACAACTGTTTGCTTGAGGAAAGAAAAGACAGTAGTGTGAAATGCTGATCGAGCTGATCAACATCCAGATGAATTTTATCGACACTGATCTGCTGTGCCTTGGGAAATCAGCGTTAGTGCCACATGATAAACTCAAAATCAATGCCACATTTGCAGGGTTTTCTGACGGCGTGAAGCACGTGTGGCCGGGTGAAAGTGCCGCAATGTTCCTCCTTTACTTTCAGCTTCATCATTTTTATGTCATGTTGACCTGTTCACCTTTGATGGAGCAAAATCTGGCGGGGAAAAGCGCGTTTTTGGCCACGTCATTTCATTTCGAATTTCGAATTTATTTTTTAAAACGGTTAAAATATTTTGCTCGTTTTTGCGAGTAACACAATGAACAACTTGTAGTATTTAAGCCACATGTTGTTAGTAATTAATAATTATGCACATTTAAAACACTACGATTGTCAAATATGAAAGAAAACCTCGCGATGTGAGGATATTCGCGTCTCGAAGCCCGTTCAGAAAACACACACATATAGTGTTTAATGTAGTTCTAGAGCAGGTGTGTGTGTGTGGTTCAGGTGCTGCACCTGTTGAACGGAACCCGATACCTGTTGGGCTTTTAAAGTGCGCGTGGACGAGCCTCGGTCCACTCGTGGGTCTCTCATGGCAACGGTGACGGCACGCGCTTCACATCTGTTCCGCGCGCTAACAATGTTGCTCATTACATATTCATACGGCATCCGACAGACGGGCGTTTAGAGAGAAAAAACACAACTTTGGAAAGTTAAAAAAGATTATCATCATAATCAATTATAAAGTGTTTGGTGTGTAATTATTAGCTCCTCAGATGCTGTTTTCAGGGTTGTTAATTAAAAGCATTTAAAGAAATGTCAAGAGAGAGGAAAGAAAGGTTCGTTATTGGCATATGTGGTTCCATTAAGAATCCAATGCACGGTTCTATGGAATTTTAAAATGTTTTTTTTTTCTTTACACTAAGAAACCATTGTTAATGGAAGCCGATTGTAAATATTAGCTCTTCAGATCATGGTTTCTTGTTAAAAGCACAAATACATTTGAAAGAAATGTCAGTAATAAATAAGAAAAAAAGAAAGAAAAGGTTCGTTATTGGCATCTGTGGTTCTTTATAGTGGAAAAACGTTCTTTAGATTTTTAAAATGTTCTTTACACTTAGAACACACTGTTAATGGGAACCAAACGGGTCTTCAAGCATCGCTGCGTAAAAACCCTTTATTTTTTAAAAGCGCACATAATGACATCAGGCTGTAATTGTTAAGTTAGTTATTAAAATTGAGTTATTAATAGTGTTTTTGAAAACATGAACATTTCTAAACAATGTCCACTCAAACAGGCCATCGGTGCCGCGTAATGAAACACGTTACACAAGCGCGCTGATATTTCTGGGCTGATTGTTGCTCTTGTGTTTGATTGACAGTCACAGATCTGTGTATCATTCTATAAACACATTCCCTGTTGAGGCGCGCAAAGGAAATAAAGCATAGCTCTCTTACCTTGACCCGAGCTGTATCTGCTGTAATTTCCAGCATTTTGACAACTTGATCCCGGATGTTCTAACAACATTCTGACACAGATTAAAATACGCGAATGGTTCAGAAAACAAAATAAATAAAAAAAACGAATATGAGTGGGAGAAAAAAGAAAAAGAAAAAAGAAGAGCGGTCAAAATGCCCAGCAAAATTATTCATAAAAAAAACGCCACGGGCTCCGCGGTGTTTCGGTTCGCTCTACAACTTCTCAAATGTCTCGATTGAATCGTCGTGTTGTTCTGGAGTCTGGAAGAGGAGGAGGAGGAGGAGGAGGAGGAATCCTGGTGACCTGCGCTGCTTTAGCATCACAAAAGAGCCGGAGCTCTGCGTGTGTGTGTGTGTGTGTGTGTTTATGTGTCTCTGTCCGCGGTGCTGAAGGAGTTCCTGGAGGCGTGAACACAACACACACACCGAGCAGCAGCAGCAGCAGCCACACACGCGCGCGCGCACACACACACACGCACACACAAACACACACACACCGCGTCCCCGAACCCAACGCTCCTCCCGCGCGTCTCAAACGGCGCGTGTCCATCTGACAGACGAGAGACTGACTAACAACTTCTGTTTCCTATCTATCTATCTATCTATCTATCTATCTATCTATCTATCTATCTATCTATCTATCTATCTATCTATCTATCTATCTATCTATCTATCTATCTATCTATCTATCTATCTATCTATCTTTCTATCTATCTATCTATCTATCTATCTATCATATTTTACTCACAATCAGAGTTAATTTAAAACATATCCTGGCTCTTATAAGCTTTATAATGGGAGTGAATGGTACCTGAGATTTTGAAGGCCGTAAAAGCGCATCCATGCATCATTACAGTAATCCATGCGACTCAGGGGTTAATAAAGGCCCTCTGAAGCGAAGCCCAGCGTTTTTGTAAGAAAAATGTCCATAATTATACCTTAAATTATAATGACTGGCTTCCAGTAACGGCCGTAGCAGAAGAGTGACCTCTGACCTTATGACGTAGAATGTAATTAGTGTCTTAAATTTATTATTAAAACGCAAGGCATCACTATTGTTGTTGCTCATACTTAAACTTCGGCATGCTACTCCTCCCGCACCGTTTGTCGGAGACCCATGAATGAGGTGTCAAATCGACCGGTTTATTGAGGAGAGTTTATTGTGCCATGAGTTTTATAAGTGATCGGTTGTACGATGTTCGTCCGGCGGGCGATAAATCGGGCGAAAAAAGTTACACTTAACATTAGCATAAAATTTGTAAGATCATATCTTTGGATTGGAAGGTCAGAGAAACTTGGGGTTGAGCTCTATTGACTCGGCCTATCAAGTAGCCAATAAGTAGTGACATAACACCTTCATAGCCATGCCATAGCAACCAGTTACAGGACCCTAGCAACCATTAAACAACATAAACAAGCAAAATCTCAGCACCAGAACATTGTAGAAAACTGGCAAACAGTCTTTAAAGATCAATCCATAAACTGTATAAGCAAACCCTAGTAACCATAAAGAGTACCCTAGCAACCGTACAAACACATGAATAACCTATATCTCAGCAGCAGAACATCGTATAGACATGAGGTGGGCTCGTTTGTTTGGGTTGCGAAATCAGTCTGTAAATATCGCCATGGTAACCACACCCTAGCAACCGGGTGCCGAGTTTTGCCACTGCAAGCACCACTCACATTTTCTTCAGGAAATGTATACATTCTAGTTTTTAATATAATTTCAAACCATACAGAAAATGATATACAACTTTGTATACAATAGACAAAATATATCAACAATATGTTCAATGTCATCTGAACATACAGGAGAGAAAAAAAGTTAACAATGATTTGCTAAAAAAAGAAAAATAACAAAGGAAAAATAGGAGAAGATAGGAAAAAAAAGATATTATTTTATATATTAGTTAGAGTGTACAAATTAAAGTCATTACATGTAGTTTTAGCATGTAGGAGTAGCGTACGTTTAGCTCGCAGTTCAAACAACAAACTCAAGCTCCTCCCACATTATCTCTGTAAAAACTTAAGCTCCTCCCACATCATCTCTGTAAAAACTCAAGCTCCTCCCACATTATCTCTGTAAAAACTAAAGCTCCTCCCACATTATCTCTGTAAAAACTCAAGCTCCTCCCACATCATCTCTTTAAAAACTCAAGCTCCTCCCACATCTTCTCTGTAAAAACTCAAGCTCCTCCCACATCTTCTCTGTAAAAACTCAAGCTCCTCCCACATCATCTCTGTAAAAACTCAAGCTCCTCCCACATCATCTCTTTAAAAACTCAAGCTCCTCCCACATCATCTCTGTAAAAACTCAAGCTCCTCCCACATCAACTCTGTAAAAACTCAAGCTCCTCCCACATCATCTCTGTAAAAACTCAAGCTCCTCCCACATCATCTCTTTAAAAACTCAAGCTCCTCCCACATCTTCTCTGTAAAAACTCAAGCTCCTCCCACATCTTCTCTGTAAAAACTCAAGCTCCTCCCACATCATCTCTGTAAAAACTCAAGCTCCTCCCACATCATCTCTTTAAAAACTCAAGCTCCTCCCACATCATCTCTGTAAAAACTCAAGCTCCTCCCACATCATCTCTGTAAAAACTCAAGCTCCTCCCACATCATCTCTGTAAAAACGCAAGCTCCTCCCACATCATCTCTGTAAAAACTCAAGCTCCTCCCACATCATCTCTGTAAAAACTCAAGCTCCTCCCACATTATCTCTGTAAAAACTCAAGCTCCTCCCACATCTTCTCTGTAAAACTCAAGCTCCTCCCACATCATCTCTGTAAAAACTCAAGCTCCTCCCACATCATCTCTGTAAAAACTCAAGCTCCTCCCACATTATCTCTGTAAAAACTCAAGCTCCTCCCACATTATCTCTGTAAAAATTCTCCTTTCAGATTTATAATTCGTGACTGGTGTCGGGTCAGAGGTCACTCTTCCGCCAGGACCTAATTCATTAGTAAAAATAAATAACTCTAAAGCATTTATTAATCTTAGTTAATGTTAATTTCAACATTTAATAGCACATTATTAAATCAAAAGTTGTAACTGTATTATTTAATGAGCTGACATGAACTAACAGCAACAAAGAATAATACCTTCTGTAAGAAATGTAGCTCTTGCTCATTGCAAATGTTAGTTAATGCATTAAGTAATGTTAACTAATGAGACCTTATTGTAGAGTGTTACCTATTTATTTATAATGCTTTATTGTATTTAATGTTCAGATCTTTTTGTAATAAGAAAAAAAGTTGTTAAGCCTGTTATATGTTGATACTTTTATAGCAACTTATTTCAATATCGTACCGTATTTTATTCTCATACCGTGATAAAAATCAGGAATTATCGCAACATAGAAATTTGATACTGTCACACACACACACACACACACACACACACACACACACACACACACACACACACACACACACACACACACACACACACACACACACACACACACACACACACGTCTCTCTCAGGACCAGCTCTTGTATCTGCTGTGTTCCTCTCATCTCAGTATTGCAAGTGTTTCTGCACCTGAGCCCCACTTACAGGCCCATTTCAATCAGGCTTTAATAGACCTGTGTGTGTGTGTGTGTGTGTGTGTGTGGCGTTTGCTCTGGTGGCGGAGCTCGAGCTCATCGCAGACGGGCAGGAACACACACATCCTCGCTGCTCTCCAACACTTGAAGCTCCTTGAGGATCAAAACTATATATCATTCTGGAGTGCAATGTCCAGCTTTTTTAAATGATTGTGCATTTAAGGGCTATGAACATCATACATGTCTTCATGAGGAGCGTCGGATGAATGATAGGAACAGGATCAGATGAAAGCAGATGCATCATATTCTCTATTCCAAGTTTCTTACACAGTTATTCAGATGTGCTGAGTTTATGAGCAATATAATATAAATCCAGTCGCATGCACAAAGATAGCAACACATGCATGCATTTAAGAAAAAATTGTTATTTATATATAAAATATTTGTATTTAAGTACATATATATATATATATATATATATATATATATATATACAGTATACATGCAAATATTTCTTAAATGTATACATGCATTTATAATGTGTATTTATAAAAAAAAATAGTTATATATAGTAGGCTACACACACATATATTGTGTAAACAAACCTTTTTTGTTGTTGATGGGTTTAATCGCGATTAATCTTTGCCCAGCACATGTGTGTGTGTGTGTGTGTGTGTTATAGACCTGTTAAATCTGCTAATATTTTGAAATGCACCATCATATCACAATGTTTAAAATAAACGTGCTTGATATAAAACAGCAGGAGCACCGAAGCACAGGCCACAAATCAAGTTAACAATCTGCTAACGATGTCTGTGTGTATTTCAAATATGATGATTTCTATTCCTTTACTTGACTATGTATGTGCTATATTATTATCTATATTACTATAGTTTTAGATTAACAGTTTACTAAGAAAAGCCCGATTTGCTCTGTAAATTCAAAGTGAGGCGCGGAGCATATATGCATTCCTGCATGCTGATATTGATTGCAGCCTCGTTATGAATTTGCAGCATGCTTGAGGAACAGCGCATGCGCAGTAACATATGAAGGTAAGCTGCCAACAGCAGTAGAAAAAACCCCAGAACATTCTCCAGAAAACAAATTCCTGATAAAAAAACAAAAAAACAAAAAAACCGGAAGACGGAAACGAGCGCGGCGCTTAAAAAGGGGGCGGGGCTTCAGAAGGTCCAAAGTGCTAAAAATCGTTTTAAAAGTAAGTCCACACCACAACTCTAACATAACGGCACAGATAAATTATAAGAAATCTGAAATCACAGTCAGAACGATTTTCCCCCCAGCTAATGAATGATAAATACATTGACAACCAATCAGAATCCAGCGTGCTTTAAAGAGCGCAAGCATCAGACGACAAAACTGCAGCGCGCTTAGAATAAACAGAACGTTATCGTGCGTTAAAGGTGTATTGTGTACCTTTTAGCGGCATCTAGTGGTCAGGTTGTAAATTGCAACCATCAGAAGTTACGGTGGCCGACAGGAAGTGATGTCGTCAGAGAGTAGCTAGTTAAGCAATGAGGTTTCTTTACAAAGATTAAGAAATTAGGTTTACTTAATTATTCAGTAAAACGATGTTATCATGAATATCATTGTTACTTGTTCATCATTGTGTCAGTGTTTTACTCGCTGACTTTAGCAGCTTCTTATCACGAAGAACAACATAGTGACGAAACGCGTTTGTCCGTTCAGGGCCACCGTAGAAACATGTCGGTGTAAGCGGACCCGCGGTGTGTGTAGAGAGAAACGCTCATTCTAAGATAATAAAAACATAACGGTTTATTATGTAAGGTCTTTATACACCACTGAAAA